CCAACTAGATTCACTTTTTGATCGAACGAGGTACTGAAGTCAAAAATCGAAGCACTTTTACAGCCCCAAAACGTGATGACAGACACAAAAAAAAAAACACACACACATCATGGTAAAATCAATACATTCATCGCTCCGCTCAGGATCTAAAACAAAAAAAATACAAACAATATTTTTTTAATTTAATAGATCATTTTATTTACTGAAATAAAAAATGTCTATACATTATTAAATTTATTTTATTTTATAAGTTAAAATATTATTTAATGTAGTTAAATTTATTTTATCTGACATGATTTTTTTACTAAATATTTTTACTATTTCTACTAAATTGTTTATTTAATACAAATTACTCGTAAGTACTTATTTTATAAATACCACAGAATATATTATAAAAACAGACACTAGTTGAAATTATTAATATATCATGAGAAACCATTATTTTATAATTTAAATATTAATTAAAGTTCATTATTAGGTATGATATGCATACCTAGTAGTTTTATTATACGCGTTGCAATTGCAATCGTACATTACCTACTGAAACTCATATTATTATTATTTTTTTTTTAAGTCTTTACCTCTGCGTTTGTTCTTATTATTGATTAGCGTATACATTTATTTTATAATTACATATATTATACTTCATTGTGTGTATATAAACATAGATTTTAAATTATACGTGTATTTATTAAAAATAAAAATAACAACAATTCTATAATAATTAATTGGGTTGGTAAACGTAMACGTAATGTAGATAAGACGACCACAGTCTGTGGAAATGATAAGTCCACATCGGCAATTATTATATTATTTTAACGAGTAGGCGTAATCTTATGATACAGTTAATAGCTGAGGTGTAGAAAAAAATCGTAATTATTATACCTAAGTACCTTTCGTTTAATTCTTAAAATTGGAATTACATATAATTGTTTGAAATACAACTTAATGTTTAATGATTACTTCAATTATACATTTTTCGCTATGACAAAATATTTAAAATTATTTGCAATAATATAATGTTTAAAATAGTTTTAAAAAATATTTATTTATTTAGATTTTTACTTTATTTCCGGCTTTTATCAAAAAATTTTTGGTAAATATAACCCTTATAATCATGGAAGGAGGGCATGTCGATGACCATGTCATCAGGTCAGCTGTGCGTTTGGTTCATCCAATGGTGTTACGCAACGTATTTTCAATGGCAGTAGATGAAATGGATAAAATATACGATTTGGACTACAAGGTTTGTTGTAATACATTTGGCTATAATTTACCTATCTAGATCTAGAAGATAATAACATTTTTCTTGGTTTTCAAATTCAGTAAAATTTTAAATTTTTCAACAAACAAATAGAATAAAAAATTGAACAACATTGCAATGTTGGCATGTCTATACCTAATCTATAAATATGATTTTCATATGGATAAAATGTGCACTCTGTCGGAAACCTGCATATTAAATATTTTGTAGGTTACAAAAAGCTTATACTTCACTATTCGAATTGAAAATTGATCACCTCTAAAAAAAATAGATGCTTTAATAACATAGAGATAAAAACGTAGACAATAGAAAGTGCCTAATAAGATTTCAGAAAATTCCAAGAAGAATCTCGATTGTGTACTTCATTATAATCTTCGTTTTTTTATGTGTTGAAAAGGACCATTACAATAGAATAGATAGTTGATGAAGAATAGAAAAACCCGAAATGATTATTACCCAATCTGCGGCTGAACAAAATTATTTATATAAATTTTAAGTAATAGGTACATCGCCATCTGCCGGTCTACTTTATCGAAACCTATATAATAGGTGAAGTATTATYTTATAATAGATTTATTTATATAATATAGGTMGGTATACCTACAAAAGTACAAACCTACCTACAATAATATTTGATATTAAGTATCAAGCAGTGGCGTATTTACGAAAAAAAGAATTACTCAATGTTAATAAAGATGTCAGTATAAAAAATCGGTGTCTATTTTACAACGGGAGGCCGTTTATAATTCAACAAACAAATAATTTAATTAAAATTTTTATACCTGAAAAACTCAGAATTATCTTCATTACCTTATGAAATATTTCTAAATGCATTATTTTCTAAAAATAACGGACATTGACGTTAATAAAACCCAAAAAATGTTATTAATTCTAATTATCAGAAGAAGTATTTTCTTGATGCCATTTTATGTCTCAGTAGCCGTTGAAGGACAACGCGAAGAGATTAAACATGTACTTCGGCAAAACCGACGGTTGGTGTCCGACGTCGTTCTACGACGACATCAGCAAGTGCGTACCGGAAGCAGAGACTGTACTGTGCGACAAAGGCTACCAACACGCGTTTGTAATCGGTTATTCCGACGAGATAGCTGGTGTCGTATGCGACTGGCTCCAACTCGACCTAGGAGACACTAAACCGAAGTAAAACCGAAATGTAATACCTACACTGGTATTGGACATCTGCACTTCGGCGGTTGTTAGTCAACCTGATTAAGAAATTATAATTATTTTTTTATAAATGAAGTTTATTTTATCAATTTATTACTGTTTTATATAATATCTTTTTTTACCTACCTATGATATCCTTCTATAGTTCGACACACTTCACACCTCGAAACAAACAAATAAATCGCTTACCTTATAATACTTTGAGGTATGTATAACAATACATTCACCATTATTAGTATTACATATTATAATATTTGAATA